AGGTTTCCAAGGCTGTAAATCTTTACGGAAGCAGGCTGCCACAGCTTTCTCCCCTGGAGCTGCTGGTGGGTTTGAACTGCCGACCTTTTGATTAGCAGCTGAGTGTTTGACCACTGCATCACCAGGGCTCCTCATTTTATTGCTACAAAGTATGAAGTAACTATTGCACCCAAATGAGCCAGTCCTGAGCGCCCCTTAGGAAGTTACAAAAAAGTTTTATCAAGTCTCTTTGAATAACTAAAAATCTTCCCAACTTCCCTTCACCACCCGCTCATTTTCCTTTAGATGCTGTACACTGAATTGTATGATGTGATGCAATTCCTTCTTTTTTTTTTCATTCTCTTTTTAATGCTCATCATTTTTGTCACTTGATTATGCTCTGTTTCTTACGTTAGCTCATTTGTCAGGAAATGACAAGGGGCAAGTCACTCAAGGCGGAGCTGGTGGTGTAAAGGTCAATCCAGCTCTGCTGGAAAGTTTACTTGAAAACAGGCTACTTGGATGAGTTTAAGTAAAAGAAATTTTGTTTGGCTGTAAGAAAATTGCCTGGACCTTTCGGGTCGATAACACACAAGAATGGCTCCAGGGAGCACTTTGGCGTTGGCCGCTGCGGGAAATCTTCATGCAGAAGTCATTTCCCTGCCTTATGGCAGGTCAGATGGTGCTTAGTTCTCTACACCCTTTGCCACTGAGTGGACTCCAACTCAGTGACCCTGTGGTGCTGCAGTAACATGCCACAAGTGAGTGGCTTTAAAGAGCAGATCTATTTTCTCACAGTTCAGGAGGCTAGAAGTCAGAAATCAGGGCACCTGCTTTAGGGGAAGTCTCTCTGTCTGCCCTGGGGGAAGATCCTTAGCTCCTCTAGCATTTTTCTAGCCATTCCTTGGAGATCTCCATGTGGCATCTTTCCCCCTTTTGTCCTTGCTACGCTGTGCGTAATCTGTTCTTTTTTATCCTAAAAGTGAGTAGGTTTGATACACCCTACACGGATAATGCCTATATTAACATAACAGAGAAAATCCTCTTCCCAAATGGGATTACACCCACAGGGTTCCAACACATTTTTGGGGGACACAATTCAACTCTTAACAGTCTTCCCCTTCTGATTCTTTTTTGTTTGTTCGTTTGTTGTTGTAGTTTAAGTGAAAGTTTGTCTTTCAGGTTAGTCTCTGGTACAAAAATCTATACACACATTGTTATGTGACCCTAATTGCTTTCCCTATACTGTGACAGCACACTCCCCCCACCCCGCGCCTGATTTCCCGCGTCCATTCAACCAGCTCCTGACACCCTCTGCGTTCTCATCTCACCTCCGGACAGAAGCTGCCCGTTTAGTCTCACGTATCTACTTGAGCTGAGAAACACACTCTTCGCAAGTATCATTTTACGTCCCACAGTCCAGTCCAATCTTTGTCTGAAGAGTTGGCCTTGGGAATTGTTT